TATCCATTCTTTGTCTTAATTTGCAAACAATACAGATAGTTTCCAATTTTGAAAGGTGCCCATGCAGATACACATGTACACAGGAGTGATAATGAGACTGATTGACAGCTAGTCTTTACATGGTACATCCCACTTCCACACAGGGGTGGACATTTTCAAATCAAAATGTACCAGCCAATTGGCAGATATTGAACAGGACAGCTGTGTTTTGATTCCCAACATGGATTTTGTCCATTTGACTTGATTAATGAATATTTTCTTATTTCAGCATGCCAAAGAAGAAAAAAGGGTCCAGACTGTCAAAACCTTAACACAAATCAACAGCAGAAGAGTGTTTCATCAGATGTATGCAAATTATTATGCTTCAAAGCCTTACAAGTTCAATAAAAAATTCCACACCAGAAGAATTCACTTTTAAATCAAATAACCATTTCATTTTTATCAGAGTTAACATTGAATTATAATACAATTTGTATATCACCACTCAAGCTTGTTACATATGTCACTTGTGAGTAATAAAAAAACAGCTATATTTTAATTTTAAAGTTTTTATTCAGTTGTAAACACACAATAAGTACAATGTACATGTAATATGTGCATGGGAAATCACGAATTAACATACATTCACTTAATGCAGGGCTTTAAGTTGAACCTCGATAAGTATTTTTTTTGTCTCTCCAAAATTACATATTTAGAATCATTAATTAATTTGAATGAACATGTCAATATGATATGATGTTGACCCTCCAAACCTGAATGAAAATGTTATTTGACTTATGCAATGGATCAACTTAGCCCTGTTCATTGTATGTATATCATACAAAACCAAGCATATTAACTTTAATATTAGACAATAAACTATCATACTCTGTGAAAATATTACATGTGCTTGTCTATTTTTCCAGAGTATATATAACTTAGTTAATACAAATGAAATAATTAATTAGTTAAAGTGCATCTCTTTATTTTGTTAACCTACAGCAAAAGCATATGTTGCAGGGTTTTGGTTCTATCTAAGTGTGATTTATATTAAACATGTTCCAACTTTTGCATATAAATAGTAATGATTCTATTGAGTAACAAAACTGACAACACATAAATCTTGAAAGAAAATAAAATTTTGCATGTATGTGAACCGCAACCTTTAATCTCAAGTGTATACTGTGTTTTAAGTTCAGGTTAAGTTCTTTTAGGAATATATTGATGATTTAAGTAATGATGAAAATTGTTGCTGACAACATTATAGCTTTAACGAGTGGGCTTGTTACATGGAGAACAACAGGTCTGAGCTAGTGGTGCTGTCAACAGGAACACTGGTGCTGGAGCTGTCCCTGGAACAGCAAGTTTCATTTTGGTTAGCTGAAAAAGATTCAAATTCAAATTTAAATCATACTTGTGCCTAATTATTAGAATACCTTGGACTTGCTATATAGTTTAAAGGACCAGAAAAACGATACTACAATGTGTAATTTTGGTTACAGCGAAGACATTAACTAATCAACACTCATTGTATGGAGTCAATCATTTCTCAATAGTAATTAAAATTTGACAAAAATCTGAATTGAAACATGATTAAATGAAATTCAAAATTTCAATGAACTATTTCCTATCCTTATACTTACATAATGATTTTTCCAATATTCTAAATTGGCACAAGGTGGGTAATTACAATTACATTGATATCGCAATAATTGATGTAACAGACGATATTAAAAGGGCATTGCCACTTTTATTTCAGATGAAATTTTATCTTAAAAGGACATTGCAACTTAAATGTACTCAAACACCATTCTTGCGTTTGTTTCAATATCTGTTAACCAAACTCTAGTGCTTACTAAAATATACTGACACGCAAAAGAAACAAAACCTCAATTTTTCGGTAATATCTTTAATATTTTATTCAAATGTTCCGTTGAAGTAACATATCCAATGAAAGATACACATCTATTATATTGTATAATTCAGTTATTTCAGCGATTACATTATGTTGGCGGACAAACGGCACGACTACATGTTGTAGAATAACGTTGAGCTGTCAAATTGCCTTTAATGACGACTAAGGAGGGTTTGCAGCCACTACATATCTAACCCAACACCATAATGCCATTACGCTGCCACTATCAAACCGAAAAACGTCGAAAAACTCGCTGACGCCCATTTGTACGGTGACGCTGGAACCATTGGAGTCTCACGTCACGTCGATGACGGTTCAGGGGCATTCCCACTGCAATGCGACGCGGCGTAATGCTTATGAACATGTTGCCTATGAATGAGAGCAGTTCAATGCTTATATTTTGCATTTGCAATTGCCATCTTTTTGTGTTTTTTTTTTATTTCCTAATTAAAATTTCCCACGCTTACTGAAAGCGAAACAGCCAGAACTATTTTGACAGATCAGGAAATAGTGCGTGGAAGAATTCCAAAAAAGGTATAAAAAGTATTTAATGATATGCTCACTACAAATATTTAATCAGTTTTTCAAACCTTACATGTAAAATAACATCTGCAATATTTATTTCATACAGTGTTCATTTGTATAGACTAAAAATTCAGTCCAGTTTAACGATCTGCGATCTACACGTTGAACTGTTGAAGTTAAATGCACAGTCTTTGAAGGAGAAATTTGCAAAGAACCCGGGTGTAGACATAATATAGCTTGTTGAATAAACATTGACCTGACTGTTTGAAGCGAGGGAAACTGGTATAATGTCGGATGCCCGCGAGGATTCGGTAGACTGACTAGGGTGAGGGATCGCCATTTTGAATTATACGGGACGCGTTGGCGGGGTAGTATCACTTGTCATGGCAGATAGCGACGTGCTTATGGCTGTCTTTTGATTTGAAGACACAGAACGGTTATAGGAGCGAAGTGACGACTCACAACGATCGTCGGACATGTACATAATGTGGCTCGCTTCAAACCCCGTGTCATTTAAGTACTGGATTGCTGTGGTCCGTAGGCAATGAGGTGGTACTGCTTGTCGACATGAGACGTTTTAAAGATATCAGAGAGAAATCGTGCGAATGTACGTTTCGCCAGAGGCTTTGTGTTGTACCAAATGTTGGTGGTTTACGTCAGTTTTATCTAAAAGAAGTTTCAAGACGACTGTACATTCGCTTATCATTTGCCGATTCTCTGGAATCCAGTCCACCTTGGTTTTTTTTTTTGCTGGGTTGTTTGTGAAAGTGTAACGTATTCTCCAGAATAGTAACGTTGAAATGTGAACGAATTTGGGGTAAGCTGGTGATGAAATTCCATCCCCCTTGTCACAAAGTGAATGGATAAATTGAACCACACACAGTGGCGAAGGTTCACCGGTGAGGTATCAGCAGCGGCTAGGTGAGTGGAGAATTTCTCTAGATGACACGTACAATAACAGGTTAAAGTTTGTTTGCTTAAGCCTAACTTTTCGCTGTGCTTGAGAAGCCCGTCCATTCGCATGTCTGAAATCTTTATCTCTCACGATATCAACGTTCCTATGAATATCGGCTAAATGTTTGTTTATCGCTACTCGAATATTTTTCAATGTGTCTCTGTGGTACAGAGCTCCACCTTCGGCCTAGCCTCAACATAAACTCTCTTGAGTTCCTCGGCCAGGTCCTGAACGCTTTCTTCCTGCATGTTGACCGATTTCCCAGTTTTCTCAAGATTCCAGTCTGTATTATACAATTAAATTTGACTGTGATTCCCCAGATAAGAAGTTCGAAAGTCAGCTGTGTAACAGTTAAAGCCGTATTTTGTTTGCGTTTTATAAATTGCAACATTTCACGTGTTTTGATTGATTTCTATACAGTGTGACACAATCAACTTCTACAGTACCAATCAAACCTACTTATCCCCGAGGCTGTGTTCTTTTATGTAATTGGTCTGTCTGGCATCGAAATAAATTGTCAAACATCCCCTTTTTTGTTGTTGTTGTTGGTTTTTGTTTGGGGGGGNNGGGGCACAGACAACGGAGTTTCTGGAGGGGGCATGCAGTCCAACGCCGCCCTCTGAATTTCCGCCTCAATTTCGTTCGATATTCCTATGGAACTTGCCATCAACTATATCCCTTTTAGGTCTAGTCCGCTTAAGATATCTTCCTCGCTGGTATCCATATTCATTTCATCATTCCATTTATTATTATACATCTTTTAATTTTAAACGTAGTCACATCAGTCTAAGACTATGCTATGGCTGTAAAGAGGACATATTGTGCTTTTGTGGACATTCAGTACTCTTGCCACATCACTACTTTGTTGCGGGTATTGTTAGTTAGTCTTGGCATTTTGACGTAATCACAAAAAATGCTTTTACCGGACCATTCTTACCCGATACCTAAAGAATGATAAACAGGTATGGGACGCATGCATTGCGACCACGCGTATTGGTGCACGTTCTAATTTAGCTATGTATTGTAGTCTTGCGGACACGAACCCGCGTGGAGTGACAGAGTTCAATCAACCATGAATTGATGGTGAATATGTATGATACCATGCTATTGAACACGGCTAACAAAAGTTGATTAATATTAAAAAATGATGGACATTTAAGGGGGTTGCGTTTCTTTTGCGTGTCAAGGTATCAACGCAACAAGTTTGATCAATCAGAGTTTATTTGTTGTAAGAATTGTTATAATACGAGTAGCGCATGACTTCTTTAACAAAATACCATTATTATTACTACATATAGTAAGGGTGTTATGTTATTGGGTTTAGTTAAGGATGGGCTATATTGTTGATAATGAATATATATATTTAGATGTCCGAGTCATTCACGTCGTATACACGCAATGCTCGGTGTTCGGGTTACGTTGCAGGTATGACACAAGCATATGTAACTATCAACATATATATGCTGTTATGTGGTGTACATGTATCTGTCTCAGTGTCAATAGTACTTTGTACTGTATAACCCACGCATACACTTTGTACATGCACATTAAGTACTTTCGTTCCGGCATGTTAACGTAGATTTGTGCAGATAACATAGATAGCACCATGTGACATAGAAGGCAGATACGATACCCCGTGTTTATTAACAAGGACGGTAGATATATTCACATGTAATCAAAATGTGACAAAGTCATCAAGTAAAAGATTCTAACGAAAAATGGTTTCTTTCATGGACTGACAGCATCTGAAGGTAATGTTATTGTTTTTTTCTGTTTCTCTTAGTATTTTCTATAAAACAATATACGATATTCTATCTGTTACTTACATACACAAACACCCTCCCCAAACACTCAAACCGCAACGCACCCGCAAAGTGTTTTGCTTCGTCGTTATTAAGGTAAAGTTGAACAATTATTTGGTAATCGCTAATAACTTTCGAATTAATTTTCCTGTTGGTGTTGGGCGAGGGAGAAGGTGTGTGTGTGTGTGTGTTTTGTGTGTGTGTGTGTGAGGGGGGGGGGGGGGGGGGGGGGGGGTGTGTGTGTGTGTGTGTGTGTTTTGTGTGTGTGTGTGTGTGTGTTTTGTGTGTGTGTGTGAGGGGGGGGGGGAGTGTGTGTGTGTGTGTGTGTGTGTGTGTTTATTAACTCTTTTCGTACTGTTGTCGTGTACACATGACAAAATACTTCAATGTTACTTAAATTAGTTTAACTTGGTTTATTTTAAACGAAGGCATATATCTGCCTCTATATTCAGAATATAGTCCGTATCTATTGAATCATAATCAATAGCAATGTTTTTGATGTGACCTCAATCCAATGTTGCTGTGATCTCCTTTCGTCACTTTCCCAAATTTTATCAATGCGTTTTTCGAACGTTATTAGATTTGGTTCTTGAATCACGATCACTGGTAGGGAATTCCAGTTGCTTACAATCGTTAAGTAAATGAGTATTTCCTAACGTCCAGTCTGCTCCTTGACTGAGTTAATGTCCTCGACGCAATCTTTCCTCGTATGATAATACATTCATTCTTGGTAGTAATTTAGTTACTCTCCGTTGGACACTTTCTATTAGTTCAATATCCTGTTGTGTGTATGGTTTCCATACACATGATCGAATTTAAGCTTTATAAAGTAGGCAAAAATATTTGTTATCCAAGTATGTATATGTTCTTCTGATGGCTCCAAGTATTCGGATTGCTTTGTTTACGGCGGCTTGCATATGATATGGTATTCCGCTATTGACTTGTTTTCATTCAGAGTTGTGACCATTAAAAGCAACTTACTGTCGCCTTTAGCCAAAAAGTCTTTCATCCAGCTTACTATTTCTGCTGTGCAAATCCATATGGTTTCAGTTAGCTGATTAGCCTTCTGTGCGGAACGGTGTCAAATGCCTTCATGAAGTCCATATGAACTACATTAATGAGTCTCCTCCTGTCATCCATGGTTTTAAGAAGCTTGAGTAATGTGGACCTCCCTTTTACAAATCAAAATTGTTGAGTACTTAGAAGCTTGTTGGTTGTTATATGTTCCATAACGCGAACAGTTTCCAACAGTGTGCCTATGATACTTGTTAAACTGACTGGTCTGTAGTTACCTGCATAACGCGTATCACCCTTCTTGAACATATCTGTAATCCTTCCCTCTTTCCAAGCTGATGGCACACAACCCGTACGCAATTATTGATTAAACAGTATTTTGAATGGTTTAGTTATTACCGGTTCAAGTTCTTTTAATATTTCTGGATGTATGTTATCCAGACCTTGGGATTTGCTTGTATTAATGCTTTTGATAAATTTGGCTACGTCTTGTTCGCTGCTTTCTTTCCAGACGAAACGTTTTTCGATATGCTTAACTGAGAGCTGAGGTATGTCTCCATTTGGTTCTCTTGTGAAAACAATGCTAAAATAGTCCGCCAACACGTTTGCCTATTCGCTGTCGCTTTTAGCAATATGAACCACTTGACTTTTGTCCTTTACATGCAGTTATAGTTTTTGTTATGGAATTGGCGTATTTTCAAAATTTCTGCTGGTCCTTTGCGATATTTTTTTCCATCTGTCTTTTAGCTTTTCGCACCAAGCTCTTTACTTTCTTTCTTTGTTAACGGAATCAAATTACTCATCTTTGTAATCCGAACCCATAAGTTTAAAAGAAATATTTTGTAGGTGCAGAGTATACAATTGTCTTCGTATGACACCGAATAATGTGGTGTTTATTGGTCAACAATATAAACAACATGGCGTCAAGTGCATCTGATGCGAACGCTTATATATTCATTACCACATACCTATAAAGCCTTCTTTGAGTAATTGAAATATATTGCGATAAAGGTTACTCGTGTTTAGAAAACTTAACGACTTTGGTACCAAAATAAAACCACATACAAAGCTGTATCGTGACAGAAATGTGTATCGTCTCCCTTTGCCTAGCAAAAGCCGATTCATTAGTCATAATCAGCTGCTAGTTACATAAAATGATTTGATGTAACATCGAACGTTATCATTATTTGATCAAGGTTATCTGTTTAATTCCTGTTAAAAGTGCATCCCGTTCTATTACCGTAACACCAATTCAAAAAGAGCTCTGCGTATGAATACAAACATGGAGACGGCACGTATGTCCTTTCCTTGCCTCGGCGAGAAATTGCCTAATCACCTATCAATACTTCGCCGTTTGTTTACATTTGTTTTTCACATTGCCCCTTGTTCATTTCCAAGTGATAGGACCTCTGTACAACACAAATTAGTTTTAAATATATCGTCTGCTCCAATCATGTTGATCAACAATGGAACAACAAAAAAAGATTAAAAAGCATAGATATGGGATAGTTTTCATAACCAAACATTTGTTCAAACATAGATACAGGTGACACAGCTTTTGGTTAATCTCTCCACGAATTATTGACTCAAAATGCCCTATATCATTTCGTCGCATCAGACACCATCCTGTCCCTCTCCAAATATACAGACTGTAAACAGTTGCAATGTCCCCAGCCCCATTAAGAACATATTTAAATCCGTTACAGACGAGGAACGGAGCCGATTAGAGTCGTCAGTACAGGGAAACAGAAACACATTTTCCAAGGTTTGCTTCAAATATTTAAATTGAAGTAAAATATGATATTTCCCTGATGAAACATGCACATATAAACGGACACAACAACAAACCTTTACTATCTATCTTTGTTGAATTTGTCAGTCCGTATAAAATTGTACTAAAACTTACAATCTAGTAATCCCAATTTTAACTGACTTTTAATTTAGCCGTTACACAGTTGACCGTTTAGTGGACATCATAAGAAAACCTTAAAATTCATAATAAACGGGTTAACCATCAAACTAAGCACATTTTCTTGCGAAACGTAACCCAAAAATTAGGAAAAAGAGCAGAAACACTTCCTGTACGTCAGGCCGAGGTGTAACAAAAACACTTTTTAACATTATAGCTGTTATAAACAGGCACTTGTTAGATCTGCTCACTGATATTGACATGGTAGGGGCAAATAATTGAAAAAGTACAAACAAGACCTTTTGAAGGAAAGGATGAGGGACGGCAAGCAATGGTGGTCCCTCAAAAACGGAAGACAACCGAAAGCGCATGTATGTATGCGGTGAATATCATTGCCCCGTGGCACTACTGCAGCTGCTGATTGAAAAGCTGACCCTTCGGCAACTATGCTTCTTAATCAGTACATTGAAACACCACATTCACTGATACTTTGCGTTATGTCAACAAACCTCTGTTCCCTAGATCAATCTCCAATTGTATACCAGATATATGTAAACACGCCGGAGAACATAAATTCACTGTACATTGCCTACAATCTACTGCATTCACTACTATGGATGATACTGGTAACGTTGCCAAACATATCGTGTTAATTTCGGGACACAAGTCAGGATCAGCTATCCGGTCATACAAAAGGTCTTGCTCTTACCCTCAACAGAACGCATTATCTATCACTTTGTCCACTTTATCTTGTGTCACTCCCATGTGATTCGATGTGTGTGCTATCTCTGAAGTCCGACAAGTGCTACTTGAACTAGTTTTTCTCGATGTTGCAAATCGTTATATTTACTTTAGCTGCTATTTCGTGTTTATTGATTGACCTGGTGAGATAGTGGTATCTGGTGGTATCTATTTCAAATTAAGTCGCCATAGTTATGTTTATTGCAAGTAGTTCGAGTAAATAGGTTATTGCGATATCACATTTATTGTTGCTTGAAACAATTTAACTTTTTGCTGATGTTATGTTGATGTAGTACAGAATGTTTCATATCTTTGACCTGACTGTTAGAAAGATTGGTTCAACATGACATTCATAATTACGCGTTAAATTGCATAGTTTGTAGGAAATAATAATAAAAACAACAGCAACACAAGGTCCTCGCAAATGTGCACTGAGTAAATAACGTCATTGATTGAAAACAACCATTCACAACGAAATGCTGTAATATATGTCTTGTAATATCTCCGATCATTCATACTGTTGTGCTATGATACAAGCATTATAATGTGGATTTCCGTGTTATTAGTCTATATGGCTTGATTCTATTCGCCTGCATTAAAGTGGCTAGTATCTTGTTCTTCAATCTATATATTGTCTATTGAAGCGAAATAACTCAACCTGATACTTGTTAAATTTAAGCAAGATTAACCAAAGTCCAATGCTAATCACATTATATCTTGTATCCAATGCTATATGTTAACATGATTGATTATGACTAATTATAAGGAAATAAATTACACATGTTAAACTGAAGTATAACAAAGGGAAATGTATAGACCGCTGAGGCTGATCAAATATCACAGGCTATTTTAATAGTAGATAATTATTAACACGACGAACTTTTCAATTGCACATGTCACATGCAACGTGAAAACGAAATGATATTAAGGGCACCGTAAGTATACTATTTTATCAAAACGATTTTATGAATCTGTTAAAGCAGATATTTTCATTATTCATTATCCAATGTCGGTTGACATGGCTTTTAAACTTGGCATCTAAAGCGTTAAGAACCTTTATTAAACTAACATATCTCTCGCTCCATTTTCCGAAATACACATTACTCTATTCAATTTGTGAATAAAAGTTTTGCTTATTGATAGAGATGAATTAGCAAATTGGCCGTTGGCATTTGAGGAACAATATTAGTTGCAACTACTAATAAACCAGGTGATATATTTTCAATATAACATTTTCATTATATAATAATTCTAAATACCTATGCACAGCATTGAGATATATCTTTTTATCTATTTTTACAATTTGTTCGGTTGTGATTTCTTTCGTAGTTTTTACACATGAACATAAATATGGGTTTAGACAGTTTTTTTAGTGTATTCTTGATAAAACCCACGGGGAAAGTATTGATGCCGATATATTTTTGCTAAATGTAAAGACAGTCTAATAAATATTTGCTTTTTCAGGTATGTGTCAGAGAATGTTGAAAAGACTATTTAAACTGTTCAGAATCCACCATGGTAAACGAAAAACGTAAGTGTGGCCAATTTATATTTATACATTTTCCAACAAAACGCGAATTCAATGTTTAACCCTACGGAGCTCCTAATCGAACAAGCTACATAATTATTTTATTTCGTTTCACCGAATAATTATTTCGGTTATAACGATAATTGTTTTTGTTTTATCGAATAATTATTTTGTTATAACGAAATAATGTTTCGTTTTAGTCCTAAAATGATTATATATCGATTTTTTTCGCTGAGGGGCAGGGTTAAAAATGGGTCCAATTTCAACACTCTTCTTCTTCAGACCCAATTGTGCTGAAATCAAACGCTTCTTTCATGGACTAAAAAATCTGAAAGTGATTTATCAAATTGTGAAGTTTAGAAGTCCCTTGTCGTTGCCCCCGGTTTTTCCCTTGGGGAAAGAGTAAATTCTACCATATTGAAAAATATGATTTCATTATTTGATTTGTTTTTCCTCTGAAAATTGCCAGCTACATATATGATATTTGTAAGTCATTTTCTAACATCATTTTACCTGAGAGGATATGTGAGTATAATGAATGTGTATAAAAAGCAACCCATGCAATTATCAGGAATATTCACTTTCCTGTGGGAAAAAAGTTACCGAGTACGGTGATAAATTGTTCTGCTTTTATATTTTATTTGAAATATCACTCTTATAAGATGTTTAGAAACCGAGATGAAATCGACTGCTGATAGGCGCAAAGGAGGCGTACCATGTGATATTATGGAGAATATGAAAGAATCGTACTAGTAACTTTTTGATTGGATATTTTTAGTCAATTTTCCCTCGTTGATAATTATTAGTGGTAAATCAGACGATGTAAACGTTTTTAATTTACAACAATGCAATTATCTTTCAGACCCAGTATCTGGAATAAATCAAATGACACAGACATTACAAATAGGTAAGACATTTTGACGAGGCAAGTGCCGTTACTTTAAGGAATTTTGTGAAAAGAAAATGTATGCATCAGATTTGCATTAAACAATCTTGAATTATACCTATGCGTTAGTTATGGTTTATTTATTGCATTTCGATTTCGCTGACATCAGCTATATACGAATTGGACAAGTAATGCTATTGTTTTCATATTAAGACTGTGATAACATTATGTCGGATACATGCAACTAGTATTTACAGTCATGCTAGATTAGTTATGTCAATGTAAATGTCATGTATGTGCTGATTAAATGTATATTTACCAGGGCACTTGTCGAATCACAGTAATATTACGTTCAGCCATCGTGCCTAAACGATATTTGACAATACAAATGTGAATGGCATGTAAACCATGACATTATCAGTGAAATGATTTGCTATTTTTATATATAATGAGAAGTGTGGCTATAACCAGCGCCATTTAGAATCATACATTTGTGTAAGATGATTATTATAATATTTGTATATACAACTTTATCTTACAGGAACCGTACCTCGGTTTGGAAATGTGGTTGCATTGACACGAAAGTTTTAATTATAACTGTTTAGCACTATTTTCAATAAAGTGATCAATTTTAAATGTAATATTGTCACTCTAACGGATATTTATAATCAAGACATATATTAATTTCAAGATTTTAAGTCAAATGACTTTTTTTATGTTCGTACATTCAACATTGTTTTATAAAGGTATCAGAACAATTATATCAGGGTAGACAGGCTTAAGCACAATAGGCATTTGTTTTCATGAGAGCAGAAGTTGGAATGATGTGTTTTGATGGTAAATATGAGAGGAAAATATAACAAAATATGAATGGAATATTTCAACCCTGTGGATTATAAATTGATGTTAGTCGCTTATTGTATTCTTATTTTAAAACATTATCTACAAAAACCTTCATCAGGTTACAAACCCTTTTAACTGTTAGCATGATAGAGTTTCCTTACCCGATTGAAATGCTGTTACTCAGACAATTTTGTTATTAAAAAAAACATTGTTTTTAATAAGATTATCCTAATTAAGATCATTTAATCAAATGATTGTTTTTAATTTGTTTGATGGAAATACCGGAACAATAAAATCAGGTTTACCAGACCAAAAATATGAGCACAATAGTCACACGATAGCTGGGGATGGAATTTTTTTTTTCCAGTTGGTATGAGTAGTAAACGTTTTTATAATTCTCATTGCCGGTTGGCAATCCATCCGTCTTACGTAGATTGTAAATTGGGCCAAATCACACATTTGTTTCCAAAGGAATTATTGCAAATTGTATTTGCTTGTATGACAGGAACATCTGTTTGTAATAGGTTTTACAATTTGTATATGCGTCATTATTTTGTAGAAAAACTGCAGCAACCAAATTGCTAATAACAGACCAATAATGATAAACTTTCGAATATTTAACGAAACAAAAATACGTCCAACTCTCCTATCAATGATTTACCCATATCGATGCAATGTTAGCAGCATTCATAAAGGAGTTACGGACTTAAACGAGGGCCTCTAATGTTCAATGTTTTCAAATCTGCTTATGCTATGAACATAATATGTTAATTGTATATCAAATTTAATCTTACATTGCATCATTGATTTTTATAAATAAACAGCATTGTCTTAAAGGAGAACTGGAACTTCAATAACTGAATTATCCAGTGATCTTCTTAATTCTATGTTAAGAGCGTCAATTTATTTCTAATTACGTTATTGTAATACCAGAAGGTAATCACCTTCTTTAACGTTGAGTAAGTCTTTGTCAGAAAGGGAAAATATACTGTGTCTTATATTATTATATCCATTAGGTATCATTCATGATTCCAGGGGTAAAAATAATGAAAGCCCGTATATAAAATGTTCTGGAGCATGTATCAAAAACAAAAGGTGTAATCTTCCGAAAGAGCAATTATATCACATATTAAGTAGTATTTAAGTATACTATTACAAAACAAAAAAATATGATGAAGAATAATCAATATCAGCACACAAATCAAGTTTGTTTATTGGGACAACGGTACTTTAGTTCAAGTGTTTTCGGTTCAACACGTATAATCAGCGTTTTGAAGGTAATACGTTGCAGAACAGAGAAGGTCTGCTTTTTGAGTCTACGCCCATATTCGATCCAAGAACAAAATATTTGAAAATTAGGTTGGTTAGATATTCAAGGGGCTCATCTTATTGCGAAATATTCTGTTTCTTTTACGAGCTTAATTTAATATTTTCTTGTGTTTATCAGTATGCCTTTTACCTTCGTCATCAACTTGATTATGAAGACGTGACAACACGTGGTGTGACACATATATACATAGCGGGTGTCCTCGCTATAGAAGTCGCTTATCATTCAGGGAAATTCAGTCTTAGTTTTCCTGTTTTCATTAATCGTCCTTTGTTAAAACTGTTTCTATAATTATGTTGCCCAAGTTTCATAAAGTGTAGTGACAACTGTAGCATTGTTTACACTTCGCTATTTTTCACATTTCGTTATTATCTTGTTTTATTTACGCTTTGGCATTTCCTTGTTTTGTTCACACACACATTTGGACACACACGATTCTAGTTATGGAGCATGCGTTTCTCTGTCGTATACGTCTTGTATATTTGAAGAGTGTATAGTTATCTTTTTCTTTTGTTCTGAAATAATATTGGTCCATCGCTCCACTTTTTATATATCATTTCGTAACGCTAAAACTGCGCTCTAGACCAACCATGACGATACAAATAAAAATACTATTGAGTCTTCGATTGTATTGAAAATGTTGTGGGTTTAGTTCCTATCAGAATTTAGACATACTATGTGCATAAGTTGTTTATAAGAGTATACATTATATCTACATCTACGGTCTTCAAAATTTACGTATATGTCAAATCATACATGAAGAGGCTGGCTATGCCACTTATATCAAACGGAACAGAAGGATTATTTCCCTCTGCTGTGTGATAACATGTTAAACAAGACCAAGGTCTGGTTCCCAGTTTTGATTTTTTTTTCAGGGAACGAAATTAGGTCGGAGCTTGAAGATGCACATGCAGATATATTTCAGTTGTTATAAAAGAAGACTTAATTTGACGTTGTTGGCTTAAGCATGGTACTACGACAAAGTTTCAAATAAATTGATATCCCAATCCACGGGCACCTGATATTGAATATCCAGTGTAGTGATCGGTACAGCCTTAGCAATATTGTTTATATAATGATATAATGATATACAGAGTGAGTAATAACGTGGCCATTTGAACATTTAAAATGCAATGTTAGACCGTGCTAAGCTTGTTTTATGTCATCTATTGTAGTAATATGAAATTATATTCTACTGGAAAAGCGGTGCTGTGCGAACACAACGAAATATTAAATTCTTGTGTGTGTCATTACATTGATATGTATTTTGCTTTAAATATAAACAAATATGACTAATTGTGATATATTTATTTTTCTTGAATAATTTCGAATAAGCTAAATGTTGTAACATTTTTATTTATGCTGCAATTTATCTGCCCATTTCTCGTTATGTAGCAGAGTCATATTTTATTATATAATATATTAATTAATTTATATGTGTTATATTCTATGTTGTGTTCAGTATGTGTTGATATTATGACGTACGTGTCCTGTGGTGTGATTTTTACCTGTGATGTTTACGTGTGATTAATGGTATAGTATCCCATGGGGTGCTTCTGTAAGGTCCAGTGTGTTATTGTTTATATTCCATTTCATTGGTCAGATGTTTTTGTATAGATTTTCATTTTTATTGGTCAGGCATTTGTTGGTCACTTTTGGCAAGATTTCTCTGTGTCAGTTTGGAAGCAGATTTCGTGAGACACAGCAAACATATTGAATTGGACAGTCACATACTTCTTTTGACTATTGAAACATTTAGTTCAAAATTAGTAGTGATTTGATGACATTGGTTTTTATACTTGCTCTGTGGCATACACAGAGTGAAGATATATCTATATATAAGGAAGGTTGTTGAACCAGGTTTTGTCAGTGCTGTTGAGTGGAGTAAATATGAATCGTAAAGAACTCTTAGTTGTTCGTGAAAACACTCCGCTACCACCTTCTAGTATATATATACATATATGTATTCACTTCATTTCTGAAAAAAACATTAGGTGATTTGTTGCTAGTTATGATTTAATTACTTATTGTGCATATATCTTTTAAAATAAAATCGCGCTCACAAATTTTGTTTTCTTCAGGCGAGCGCCAAAGCACATATGAGGCAGATGGTCATCGATGGTATTGGAAAAACGAACGTGAAAGAAAGTGGGTAGAGTTTCATCACTCCAACAATGAAAACCTGGAAAGGAAAATGTTTAAAGAAAAACTGTTTGCGCATATACTAGTGGATAGAAAATGGTAGGCATTTACAAAGAAAACATAATAACTGTCTATCACAGTTTTCTTTGCAGTTATGTGGTTTATGCTCCACTATGCAACTTGTTTATTCAAGTTGCTGACCCTACAGAATAAAGTTGTTGAGCTTGTACACAACCCCATTCAAAAGCAAGCAAATGTGGCATCACTCGACAACAGAAAAACTAAAATGTCACCACAATTTGTTTTCAATGAATGTTAAGCTAATTGAATCACTAAAGCACAAATAAATCGGAACAATATAAACATTATTCTACGTATCACCTTCCTTTTAATAACAATGTATGTAGATAGATGTGAAAAAATGCCAATACAATTGTCATTGCTTTATTTCAAAGCGTATTATACATACAGTTTGAATATTCATAAACACGAATGATATGTCTAATGTAACGTGTTTCTAAATTAAAAAAAAAGTGAAAAAAAGCAGGCAAGGACATAATACATATCGCATTTCGGATTGCCTGATCTTTTCTTAAAACACTTTTCAGGTACTTCAATGTATATTTCTTTTTATCATATTTTGCCCTAGTATTTTTAGTTCGCAGCAGGGTTTGTATAGATAGTTCAAAATTCAACACGTATTTACTTTCATGAACCATAACATGTTATAGGCAGCAGGTGACTTTTGCTTCGATGAAAATGATATTAATTAACCATCTCGATGAAACCGAAGTTAAACGATCAGGTAAGTATCGATTTGTATGGATTTGGATAAGTAAAAACGGAAATATTGGACAACTATTTCTCTTGTCATCAATGTATAAACGAACAGAAATTGAAAAATAAACAGATATCATGGGTGCAAGGTTTAACACCAAATAGATGATTTTTTTAGAAGCGTTTGTAATCAGCCATCTCGAGAGAAAAGTTTCGTTTCTGAAAGGAAACTTTCAAGAATTAACAAAACCACGATAGACATTATTTACATGTTTACTCAAATAGCATTCTTTACTCCTCGGAAGCTGTTCTGAAGGATATACATGTCAATTTAGAATATTTTCCGATGTTTGCACGTAGTTAGCAGGTGCAAAAAGGGAAAGATGGGACTATTTTTGTTCTTATCCTATATATATGTGTAAAAACGAACAGAGCTGGCAAAAAGGGAAAGATGGGACTATTTTTTTTCTTATCCTATATATATGTGTAAAAACGAACAGAGCAAAATGAACATTTGAATGGTTACATGTAAATCACCAACCTATAAAATGATGTTCACTATGTTTCCGTTTGTTATGCATGTCACAATGTAATTTGTCATTAAGAAGGTAATCCTGATCATGTTGGGACATATACTTCTTTTTAGAACATTACATACTCCGATGTGATCGTAAGGGAGCGGTGTTGAAACTAAAGTCAGTGTGTTAAAAAAGCTAGACCTGTCATGACGTACAGATGAATGTTGGTATCACTCCCACGCAAATCAACGTTTCAATAGCAGGTCAACTGTAAACGTATCTCTTATTTATTTAATATGTGCAATATATATATGTTTTAGCGACACATTTTGCAATATATTGAACCTTATTTGTAATTGACAAGATTTCTTACTGAAAGGAAACATTCAAGCATTAACACTACTTATATAGTCCTCTTAACTATTTATTTGATATTCCTCTTGCAGTTAGTAAGCCGGTGTATAAAGGATTCGGTAAGCTATATTTTCGTAGATAAGTAACATGTTTTATTTGATTTAGTCAGTATTTTTAAAGGCAGTAAATGCAGGGGGAGGGGGAAGTATTCTGAATAAGTATTGTCTAACCACCGATATTCATACAGATTTCACCGATCGAACCCACCAACTACGTGCCATTGCTATATGGGGCGGGTCAGAAAGGGGTTATGGATAACGTTTTTCTTGCCTGTCAACCTGTCAGTCCAGCGGTCCGTTACACTTTATATCGGCCATTTATTTTTGACAGAATCTGATGATACACATGTATCGTCACTTTTAGACAAATTTATATATGGACGGTGCCGTTCATATGCCAAGGCTAATGCTATTTAAACATTATATACTGATTATATAGATAATTACATGGAAGCATAGATACAGAAGATGTTTCTGAATTTATTAAAGTCTAGTACAACTCAGACTGTACATCAATACCCCAGTTAGAATAATAAAGAGGTTAATTAAAATAAACATTACATGCACCCTTCTGTCTTTAATAGAAATAATAAAATAATAATATAAAAGATACGCTTTATTCCATTTTTACCAGTTAGTGAAGACAGCTTCATACTTATTAAATTAGCAAGAACTTCGATTGTTACGCAATATTTTCAACATCAACAAAAATGTAGTGATAATGAAAACAAACATAAAGTAATTAGCTAATTGACAGGGTTTTACTTTTAATAGGAATAGGAAAGCACTCATGCGCTGCAATGGTTATAAGTTACGTTTCAGGTGTGTTGTGCAACACTTTGTGAGTTGTTTACGTGTAATGATATTGTTTACAGGTGGATCTGATATTGACAGCGAAAAGTGTGACGAAGGAGGATCCTCACCGATAAAGAAGAGTGTTACTTTACCAGCTTGTCAGGATGATGAACAGAGTAAATATAAAGCTGTTTAACATGTAAAGAAACAGTAATCTGTTAAAGTTCAATGATGTTGAAATACTGTATGAACAACGATTTGTTATCGACATAAACAGTATTTTTTTTCTTTAGAATGTTAATAATTTAATCTTGCTTGTAACAAGCATTTGTATTGGCTTAACAAATTATGTTATCAGCCCAACGTAATTTTTTACATCGCCGTTTGTAACGTCGCTTTAGATTGGCTGATACAGCGGCGTAACAATTTCTAACAAATCAATATGTGTCGAACAACATTTTATTTTAAGCTTTATGTATCTGGGATTAATTTTATTTACGGTAGCATATGTGGATACATCTGATGACGACAGAGACAAATCAAAACCTATGAAGAGAAATAAGAAAAACAACAGGGAAAAGGATACAATGCAGCCACTCAGGAATCATGATGACAAACAATGCCACGACTATGCAGGTTCGTTAAGTTGAATGATGTGTTGTATCTAAAACAATAATTCTTTGATATTTTTATTCGATTGAACATGTCAGAAAATCAATGAACTGTCTCTGTTGGTTTAAACGTGAGAATAAGGATAACAAATGTATTATTAAACAATTACGATTGTATAAAACAGATATCCGTCTATGCATATTCTCCAGGGTACATTATCACGCATCTTGATTACATGAGATGTGCTGAGTTACTGCATGCAGGCAGTCATAACTATTTAAAAAGATACATATTAGTTCTTTTTTAATCGACTGGAAGACACATTACACAATTGGAAAACAGTTTCATGGTATCCACCAAATAGATCTGACCTCGCTTATATATTGAGCCTTTGCTATGATATAAATGATAGACGAGGCGTCTTTTCCCACCAATTGGAATTATACTGAACCATTCATATGTAAGTTTTAGACTTCTAGCTCCGTGAGTAATATCTGTGTTGCAGAAATAGGGTGAGCATGTGTGTATTGCTTGCTTTTTAATTCCTCTCTTACAATTAACAGGGGAAAGAAAATTCGACCAGCAACTACTGAGGAAAGGAGGGGACGATATAAGTGATCCAGGTAGGAAAGATTTTATAAGCGACAAATGTCTGATTTTTTTTTCTTCAAAATCAGATGAAAACAAGGATGCATCTCATATAGAAAATGCATAACAAACTTCAGTTGGTGCGTTCTTATTACGCCCATGATGCTGAAATATTACGCACATCATCACTTTCTTTCTGCTTAGGAATTTGAAAATAACCCTTAAAATAGCTGGAGCTATGTTTTTTCGAAAAACCGAAACACTAACCAAAGTACCAGACACGTCACATCAACAGATCAAGAAAGAGTCATATTGCAAACTACACACGAACATTTATTCAGGAAAGAGACAAGAACATGTCCAGGGTCGACCGTATATATATATATGATGAAACTATTTATAATGTAGCAATAAACCCCGATATTGTCTTATAAACATTGGAAAAGCTAAAAACATCAAAGCCACCAGATCCAGACACACTTCATTTGCAACTGCTTAATGAACTGAGTTATATTATTAGTCTACCTCTGTCAATATTTTTCATCAACTTAAAACAAACTGAATCAGTTCCCTAAGAATGGAAGGAAGCTAGTGGCAAAGCCATTTGCAAAAGGGAGACCGTAAAACAGCCAGTAATGATCCGCTTAACTTGTACATGTTGTCAAGTACCAGAAACAATTGTAGAGTAAACCATAATAAAATGCACGCATATCAATACAATATACAGCAGGAGACCATTTGTATTCATCCAAGGAAGGTCCACCGTTCTACAACTAATCCAAGTACAGTTGTGAAACCGCATCAAAAATAGCGTGCGCACCGTTGTGCTCTTCTGTCCGCACACATGTACGATTTGTTACAATTGGTTGATTAACATTACGGAAAAACTCTGAAAGGCTCGTATGGAATATGGAGCACTGTAAACATAAAATTATCATCATATTAAGTAAGAATATTTTCAGTTTTACAATGCGTGTTACACTGTGTTACAGTGAATGTTAGACTGTCAAGAATGGGTTTGACTTCCAGGTAACAAAACATGTAAATAACATTTTGATGAGTGACCGTAGTGTTACATGTACATGGCGCCCTGTTCCTGACATAGAGATCCGATATATGATACCGCATGCCTGTTGTGAAAACACAATGTTCAAACCTTGGCGAGTTGCATAAGTGCCCCGGCAGTGGAAAAATACGGTCCAAGTACACTGTACATGTAAAAAGTAGCTATGTTTACCTATGCATTGAACCGTGTCCATGTCTGCTATAAGATTATATGTGTTGATTTGGGTCGTTAAAACCCCACTAAAACATCATTTCTAAGATTCAGAAAATAAAGAAAGATCAGCTTGTATATGAAGCTAGAATATACAAACATGCCTAAAAATAAAGTTATATGTTTAAACACGAGACTTTATACATTGTTAAGCCATTTCTCAATTTGCAACAATCGTGATTGTCATCGCACAACGTTCGTTCGTCGACCGCACAAATATCTGCAAGCAACAATTGTTTAGATCTTAATCGTTCGCACATCGCGCACACATCACGCACATTGCGCGCATATCACGCATATCGCACGCACACCGCAGATCGTGTAACGTTGTGCGATCCCACAACTGTAAATAATGATTGGACGGAAATTCTTGATACAGGATGTTGCATTGATGTTTACTAATATGACTTTATGAAGTCATTATACAAAGTTCCCAACAGCGACTTATGCATTAAATGGGGATGTGCGGTTTTGCCGTTAGAATAAAAGACAGTCCTTTGAAATTGTAAACGACGTGTAACAGTAAAAGGAGACGGATTTTGTTTGAATGGTATTCCACAAGAAACAGTACTGTATTGTTTTATATGTGAATGCCTTATCGTGTGTGACAGGGTATGGATACAAAAACTTACCTATTTGCAGATGATACAACATATTCAACCCCAATTTGCGAGTGTCTGCAAGAAGACCTGCTAAAACATAAGCATGATCCTGATGTGTTTACATTCATTTAACCTTTTAGTAATACTATCAACACGAGGTCATGAAGTAAACAAAATATAAACAAAGCGAGGGTACATTCCTTCCTTCACCAAACCGTGGGTGATATGGAACAGTCTGCCATCAGAGGTTGTAACGTAACAAACTGTTCGAGCATTGAAATTTAGACTTGACCACCATTAGAAGAACCAGTCACTTTTCTATAACAACAGAGAACCTATTGGGGACAAGATGATTTAATAATTATAATAATTTGATTAATATGTTAAAGTTATAATATACCGCTTATAGACAGTCCAGTAGACTGGAGTAAGCAGAGTAAAGTATCTTGCTCACAGATCCAACAGAATGCCGTGCCGTGACGCGAACCCGCAACCCTTCGGTCATGAGCCCGGCGTCCTACCACTATACTATACTCCTGACTGTAATGTTACTAGAAACACATACGAACATAACTTACAAACATTACATTTAAACTGCTAACTTGTTCGTACCTGGAATATAATGCAAATAATAATGAGTGATTTGTTTACGAACACTGTATTTTTTATAGATGGATCCGATACCGACCGTGACAAGTGTTACGCAGAAATACCTTCTCCCACAGACACACGTGTTGTTACTTTACCAGATCGTAGTAGCAGTAATTATCAAGTTCATCAGTGCCTGATAAGGAGTATATATCCATATTATTGTGTTTTGATTAACCAACGCAACATGCTACAATTGTATCGTAAACAGTAGGTTTCTCCTGTACTGTTAAAATGAATAAAATGAATTAATCAGTAAACGTTTCGAGTACACAGTGTACACTACTGTATTTAATAGGATATATACATGTTTTCCACGTTGGTGATGTGATACATATTCTAACATTTTAATTATAATATATGTATATCCTTTTCCGAAAACGCCAAACGTTTGATTTTTGTTTCTTTCATATCTGAAAAAACCCCACATCGTTGTAAGTTAGAATAATAATTATCACTTTTCTTTACATACAGAAGCCGACTTCTCTCCCTCTGATGAAGACGATGATGAATCGAAACATGGTAGGAGAAATAAGAAGAAAGATGGCGAAAAAGACAAAGGACATAAGAATGGAAGACATAAGGACGATAAATACGATAAGCGCACAGGTTTGCTTCGTCTGTAGCCATCGCTGTTTATTTACGTATCAGTCGTATTATTCTTCTCTTTTAAATCCATTTTCTCCTAAACTGCTGTTACGATGACTGGTGTTTTATAAACGTATAACCAGAGGGTATGACTCCCTGGCAAAGATGGGCTTGGCAAACAATATCAATAGACGGTCATTTTTAAATAATAAACAAGAGGCCCAGTGGGCCTGCATAGGTCACCTGGTAAACATATCACACTTGTAACCCTAAAGTTATCTTAAATAAATCTAAAGGCAAAATATCAGTATTTATCATTAAAAGTAATTAAAAAGAACCTTTTAAAAGATTTAAAAACATTTCACCCCTGTGATCTTGAAAGTCGAACAAGGTCATTATGTTGAACAAATCTTATAGCCCTTTATCTCCGGATGCAACTTGCAAACATCACCACCCTATCCTTTTATTTAGGTCAATTAAATGTCAATTAAATGTTTAAATATATTTAAGAAAATGTGACCTCGAAAATTGGTCAAGGTCATTTAAATGAAAAAGCTTGATAGCCCTTCCTCTAAGCATGCGACTGGCTAAATATCAACATTTTGGGCCTCTTGGTTATTCAGATTTTAAACAAATTTGACAACTGTGACCTTGAATATAATCAAGGTCATTCACTTGAACACACTTGTTAGCCCTTAATCCCAGCATGCTATTGACCAGATATCAATATGCTAGGCTTTATGTTTATGCAGACGAAGTTGTTAAAAGATGTTAACATATTTGACTCCTCTGACTTTTAATATAATTCAAGGTCATTCATTTGAACAAACTTGAAAGTCCTTCATCCTATCATACTACTGCCCAAATACCAACATCCTAGCCCGTTTGGTTATTAAGAAGAAATCGTTTTATTGAACATATTTGATCCCTGTGACCTTGAATAAATGTCAAGGTCATTTATTTGAACAAACTTGTTAGCCCTTTATTCCATCATGTTACAGGCCAAATATTAGCATCCTGCGATTTTGAGTTATTCAGAAGAAGTTTTTTAAAGATTTTGAACATATTTAATCCTTGTGACCTTGAAAATAATTCAAGATCATTCATTTGAACCAACATGGTAGCCCTTCTCCAAGCATGCTACTATCCTAATATAAACATCCTGGGCCTTGTTATTCAGAAGAAGTTGTTTTAAGGTTTTTCATAGACAATGTACCCCTGTGACCTTGAATATAAGTAAAAGTCATTCATTCAAGCAAACTTGGAAGCCCATCACCCCAGCATGCTACTGACCAAATAGCATCACTCTGAGCATTTTAGTTATTCAGAAGAAGATGTTAAAAGTTGTTATCATAGTTGACCCCTGTGACCTTGAATATGGGTGAAGTAATTTATTTTAACAAACTTGATAGACCTTCATCCCAGCATGCTACTGGCGAAATATCAACATACTGATCCTTTTGGTTATAAAGAAGAATTTGTATAAAGTCTTTTTTAAGACAATTGACTACTGTGACCTGGAATTTAGGTGAAGATCATTCATTTGAACAAACTTTGTAGCCCCTCATCCAAGCATGCTATTGGCCAAATATCATAACTATGGGCATATTGGTTATTCAAAAGAAATTGTTTAAAGTAAAATATTGATGCTGAAAGACGGACGGACGGACGGACGAAAGACAGACGACGGAAGCTGCACTACGGCACCCTTCGGGCCAGATGAGCTAATAATAAATACGAGTAATGTGTTTTGAGTCTGAATCATCATTCGGCCAATTGACCTCAATGTTGAATAAAGACAGAGTATAACATCCGTGTTGGTGGAGAAGAATAGAAGAAATGTTTGTGTTATCAGGTGGGGTTAATTAGCAAAGTAATATTATTTTAGTACATACCTATGGTTAAATGTTATTTTCAATTGCAGAATAATTTATTGTAAAACCCTTGCAAACAGAAGTTATTAAGACAAAGCCTATGGAATATCTCTTTTTCACGAAATAAAACAGTACATACACATAGAGTTGAAAATAAAGAGAAGGAATGCTATATAAAAAGTGTGACGTAATTTATGTTACTGAAAAACGTATAGCTAGTCAATTATGTCCTGAACAATTATTTTAGAATCGGGGGCTATCAGTCAGTCTTTTCAGTAACAGACATAAACATGAAATAAGTATTCAAATATCTTGATATACGGAAATTATATACTGTATGATCACCATTGATAATCCTATGGAAGCCTATTTCTTCACTTGTAGAAAAGAAAGAAAGTAGAATCATTTTATTTTGATATATCTTTATTTACAAATACTGCGTGTCTTGATGTATTATGAACAAAATGAAAACCGTGTATGCAGTTAAAATAACACTATCAAGCGCTGTTGAGATAGGAAGATGGTAGGGGTTGGGATGTTTGCCAGGTAACGGTATAGTCTTAAACATATATCAATTTTAGCCTGCGTATATACTATGGTTTAAATCGAACTGGTTCTTATTTATAACTTTCCCTTGTAGATTAGCAATACTACCAAGATTATTAAAACGTCTGTCATAACATTGACGGAAAGGGGCGCTATATACCGAGGATATCTTATTGTCATGGATGTGGTTACTTCTTGCTAGATTTATTCAAGATAATCTGATTAAAGGTCACATATATGTGTGTAATAACGTATGTCTCTTTGGCTTATATTAGCAAACCGCTACCATGGTTAACCATATCTTTCTTAAGAAATTCTTGAATTGTAGAGTGAAATATCTAATATAAAGTAAGTATCATTGAACAATTGATCATTGTTGTAAAACAGATAGCTGTCCTACGAAAGGATGGTCAATTACAACTAGTAACATTTCTAAGCACGTTCGGACATTTTGTTTATGTATCTGTTTATTCACATAATGTTTTGCAGGGATGGAAAGAATACTCACTATTAGTCAACATTACTTTCAGGCAATCTGTTCAACTCGTTCTAAGCTTCTTTTTACGAACTCTTGTACTGATGTATGTAATAATGGCTTTATGGAAGGAGCAACATATTTGATCGTCGGTCTAGTCCATATATATTACAGATAATCAGGAAATACGGTAAAATCGTGCTCTCATTTGATAATAATTCACTTGTTAAGTACATATGTATTGACTTAAAAATTCACACGTTGTATTTTAAAGGGAAACGAAAACTGGCACATCAACGGGTGAAAGTGAATGGATACAAAAGAAGTGATCCAGGTACGAAAGAGTGTTTTTATTTGTCACGATTGCTACACTTGTTGAGGTTTTTCCAGACATATAGATGACGACGCGCATGGTATTCTTTGCAGATGGATCAAATAGCAACAATTGTAAACACTACACAGGAAAGTCCACGTTTTCCGATCACAGCAGCACTTATAATACAGTTTGTCAAGCCGCGCGGTATTTGGTAAATATCCGAGTATATATCTTTATATATATGACCTATCAAAATAACCTCTTTTGGTCTCCTACTCATTTTCTGTTCGATCGTTTATCTGTATATTTGTTTCCCCCCTCTCTCTCTCTCTCTCTCTCTCTCTCTCTCTCTCTCTCTCTCTCTCTCTCTCTGAGTGAGTGATATACTGCCAACAAATGTTTTTTTAACATAATTTAAGACACTTTTACTTATATTAACAGATGAGGATTATTCGCAATATGAGCATGAACGAAAGAAATGGAAACCGAACAGAACAATCAGGAAAAACGAAGACAAACGTAAAAAACAAGTGTCTGGCAAACAAAGCCGTTATATCTCAGGTTTGTTCAGTTTAAAAATGTTTTGTTTTTAAAATATTTATTGAACAATTCGTCAACTAGAAACAATTTTTATTTTAATCTGATCATACTAGCATTTGCTTGCTTTATCAAATAGTACCGACTGCTTTTCTATGTGTTTGGTTTACAAATCATGGTTAAACTCAACCTTGTTTCCTTCTTTTGTTATATATATAGAACAACAACGTTTTACAGAAATTACAACATGGATATTAAGACTGTTATGGTAAATAAAATGTAACATACTTTATTCATATCATCCATGATATTTATAGCAATCGGTACTGTTCCCTGCTATTTCCAAGCATAGCGTCCATTACATTGTACGTGTCCTTCAAAAACATACTGTTATATCCTAGCATTTGCAGTGTTATTGTAAAGTTTTCCTTATTTCTAGGATACTCATTATGTAAGTATAAAATCATATGCAAAGGTTTTAACTTTGATTAGAATCGGAGCTTTGTCGCTGCTTTGAGAACATACCTGGGAAGAACTGCTTTATCCATTATATTCAGTAGTGGAAAACGAACCATTCGAGTATACGGTGATATTTCGTGATTCCTTTTTATTAATAAAACATGAGTATACGTGTGTTTGTTGCTTTTCATGATTATATGTTTTATGAACAAAATATTAATAATTAAAAATTAAATAACTACAAAAAAACAAAAACAGAAAAAGCAGAAGTCTTACTCTGGCAGTATTTATTACATTGTAGATTCTTTATTTTAACCATGCCTCGTTGATGATGCGTAATAAAAAAGCAATTTTAATCCCTTGTGTATTTTACAGAGAACCAACAAATGCAAGATTCAAAATTGCCAGGAGAAAGGGTAATCATACAGCTTTTTTCTTTTGTCTCTCTCAATTGCTGTGAAGACCTATTTTCTGAAATTGCGATCTCTAAGCTTCAACGGCCGTAAATTAGATATTGTCATCCTGAGATTGGATAACGTTTATAAAGCATTTTATTTAAAGATAAGTTTTCCAATTCGGCCAGCTTATGAGTTGATAGTTTCATTTGAGCAGATATGAATTGAATAGATCAGTGGACTTCACTCGCATTTTGTCGACGTTTATGAAAACCAACCAAGTTATATTAGCCAGGTTATGAGATGATAACGCCAATTTGCGTACAGAATGGTAATCGGGTAAACGGGAGTGTAGGCTATAAATATAAGATGACATGCTTTATATTACAGATATTGTTAACGATATGTTTTTTAGTTTTATACGACAATATTTCGATCGACTGTATTCCGATATGTAGTAGTACAATATCGTGAACACTCAACAATATTTGTTTCTGGTTTTTAAAAGATATAAATCCTTTTCTCATTTTTTCTAGCAGAAATATTTTCTTAGCGATGCATCTGCTATACATTTTGAGGCGCATCATGGAGGTTTCCACTTTCTACACACCTTTGCGCAGTTAAACACGGACAGCGTGCGACCTCTTCATATTGCGGCGTCGTTAGGGCTGAAGAGGAATGTGTCCTACCTACTGCAGGCTGGATGGGACTTAAATGAAGAAGACCAACACGGCGCGACTCCTATACAAAAGGCGCAAAATAAAAAACTGGTGGAGTATATTAAAACATTTTTGCCGGAAGAAACAAATCCTGTTGAACTGCAACCACAAGGTACGTTGCCAGTAAATTGATGTATGTATACTGTGGTGTTGCATCGACTATTGTCCAGATACGGATAGCTCGTCAATTTACGTTCATGATTTCATTACTCCGTTTGAAGCATATGTTAATTTTAGAATCTGCTATATTGGTGCTCGTAAAAAAAAGTATCTTTTGGGGTAATTAAGTTCGTTGCACCCAATGTGTAGATCAGAAAAGTCTATTCTGCTTTCAAGGGTTGACTTATTACGCCGCTCAATCAAAGTTTGATTAAGGTCACCGTGATCATATTGACCTAACAGCCGTAACCTTCCTAATTTTAGACAGTGGCGAAATGGCCGAGCAGTTATCGTATTGGGTTACAAATATTGCAATCAAAGATCAAACCCAATATCTAACCCTACTAAAAACAATATTTGTCTTACATTTTCGTGTTTTTTTTTCAAAAGTATGCCATCAAACCCGAGATAGAACCCAGATTGGTATTACTAGCGACAATCAAATATAATCCATTGATTCATAAATACCGTATTTACGTGTCTCTCCGTGTTTTTTGTTTGTTACAGTGTTTATTCTATTTCACATTATCTTGAGAATATGGTCAAATAATACCGACGCGTTATTCGTTTCCTGAGTACTATAATCGTTTATGTTTAATCCATGCTTTTATATTTTAATTTAAATTGAGAGATTTGGAGGTCGGAAGCAGTCTGCAAATATGAAAGTATCAGACTGATACAGGCCGCTTGAACACTAAGCGGTCTATCCCTGAAAACAAAACGGTTGCTGAAAACACAACACCTCCGATTAAAAATAAACGCTGGATTTCATAACACAAATAGGTTGTTCCTAAAACAAAACACTGACTTTGTAGAGTAAACGATATATATATATAGTGATCCGAAAATAAACACACACAAAAAAGGGTAAAATAAACAGTTTTAGAAAACAAAAACATGAACAAAAGAACGATGTGGGTCCCCAAGTGCTTTTCATTAACACAATTATAAACGTTGATGGCGGCCAAAGAGCTTTCATATGTTATGAATATTTGTGAATGACACCGTTGACTGGTCAAAAACGTGAACATGATTCTTCCGTCACCAACTGACAACTGATAACTATAAAACAATGATCACTATTTCACATTTGCATTAAGTTCAGAGACAAAGGGTTGTTGGCATGTTCTGTTCGGGGGTGTCATAACGTCAAGTTGATCGACATCCCAGTTCCAAGGTAAAACAAATACGAATAATCTGGACTAACATGGTTCGACCATTCGACCGTCTGCAAATCAAGAGGCCTAGGTGAACAAACGTCGAAAAAACCGCCAGATGCTGTTATACTTCGTATAAGCATGGTTCCTGCGCATATCCGCCTAAATTGTCCGAAACCACTTGAACGTAACACAACACAATCATAACGTGACGCCCTTTTCCGGATATTTTCTTTTACCTTTTTATTGATCTCTCCTAAAATGTGAAAAGGCAAATTTATTTTCTATGCAAACAGGCATCGTTATATAATTAATGTCTTGTTAACACTAATCGTATACTCGTTTAATTCAAGAAACAATCATATTTACATCTTTTACATTCTGATTTATTACAATTAACCAACCATCATAGTTTGATCGTCGCAGGAACTAAACAACGCGATGTTATGCGATACGATACACACAGACGATGCAATGCGAACGACGAGTTTTGCCCAGAGAGTACGCAAACGGTGCACAAACGATGCGCGTAATATGGAACTGATAGTTTTCACAGATAAAAAGTAAACATCTGGTTTATTTGATTCACTTGTAGCAGACGATACGTATGACGAATGCATGGTGTTGCCTATAACCATGGACAGAGTCGATCTATCTACAAGGAGGGTCTACTTGCCGTCTTTCCAGGTAGAGTATTAGCATTCATTTGGTGTGTGTATGCGGCTTAGTTTATACGTTACGTAACATACACCATACCTGAATAATTTATAATTTGATAGTATACTCCACTCGCCATTCATCATAAGTGACAGAAAAGAATAGCAGCAATATTAACAAACGGATATTATTAATATGCTTTCTCAATGAAATGAGAAATATCATAGCTAATGACTTTCTGAAAATATCTGTTTTTATTAAGATATTAAGTGTCTTTTGTATATCCGTAGCAGTTAAATGATTATATATGTTTATCTGATAAACATACATATTATTTTGCGAGTATATATGATTTAAATAAAACATTAATTTCCTACATAGTTCCGGAAAACATTTGAAAAGGGAAAACACAAGCCACTCTTATTTACATCTCCTTACGTTACCACGTACGAAGTTGTATGTCAACATCAGGTGTACGGAGTGTTGTGGCTACTTGGTCAGTACGGGAGAGACGTACTTACCTGTTTGAATGACATCTGTCTACCAGATTGGAGCATTCAATACTTCCGTGATTCCAAGACTGGGAAGCTTGACGTGACAAAATGGCTTCGCAACAACGAATTGCGGCAACGACACCAACACCACCATCCTCACCAACAACAACAGCATTCAGGTATATTGAATACAAGAGGCCCATAGGGCCTGTGTCGCTCACCTGGATATCTGAGCAATCATGGCAAAATATTCTCCAAATGAGATCCAAGGGAATATGCAAGACCCCAAGGCCAATCCTTGTAGCATATCTGTATTAGATTTGTCATGCCCAGCAATTGTATGTATGGTTATAGGGTGGGGATCTCAACTGTATCCAAGCTGTAACTCAGAAACTAGGTCCCTAGGGTTGTGTCTAGACTCCAGAATCAATTATAATATCATGACTGCATTTCTCTTTTTTTTTTTTCCCAGCAATTGTATATATAGTTTTGGGGTGGGATCTTAACCATTTCGAAGTTATGACCATTGGGTTAAGTCTCCAAGAGTAGGGCAGTCCCCAAAGTCATCCTGGAAGCATATGTGCATTCATCTCTTTATACTCAGCAATTGTGTATATGGTTATATGGTGGGGATCTCAACCGTTTCAAAGGTATGACCCAGGCGTTAAGTCTGCAAGGGTGGGCAGACACTTGGGTCAATTCTAATATCAAGACTGCATTCGTCTCTTTATGCCAAGCATTTGTATATACAGTTTTAGGGTGGGGATCTCAACTGTTGCCAAGCGGTGACACACAAACTAGGTCCCAAGAGGCTCGGCCAGCCCCCAGGGGATATTTTAATATCATGACTGCATTCTTCTCTTTATGCCCAGCATTTGGATATACAGTTTTAGGGTGGGGATCTCAACTGTTGCCAAGCTGTGACACACAAACTAGGTCCCAAGAGGCTCGGCCAGCCCCCAGGGGATATTTTAATATCATGACTGCATTCGTCTCTTTATGCCCAGCATTTGGATATACAGTTTTAGGGTGGGGATCTCAACCGTTTCAAAGTTATGACCCAGGGACTATGTCTTCAAGGGCGGAGCCAGACCCTAGAGCCATCCTGGAAGCAAATGTGCAATCTTCTCTTTATACTCAGCAATTGTGTATATGGTTATATGGTGGGGATCTCAACCATTTCCAAGTAATACACTTGTATTGGCACCACCCCTAAGCCCGAGGGTCAGCCCAACCATTTGTACAACTTTGAATCCCTGCCTCCTATGAATGCTTCTGACCAAATATGATTGATACCCATGGTGTTGTTCTACAGAAGAAGTCGTTTATATCAATATAGCCAAATTACCCCCTTTGAGCCCCGCCTTCAGCCCCCTGGGGGTCAGCCTAATCATTTGTACAAGTTTTAATCCCCACCACATAGGGATGCTTCCAATCAAATGTATTTAAATTCCAATCAGTGGTTAAGAAAAAGAAGTCGTTTAAATAAATTGTTGACGGACGGACGACGGACGCCACGGTATGGCATAAGCTCACCTTGGTCCTTCAGACCCGATGAGCTATTAATTATATAGGATGTTGTATAAGATCTTATCGCCGGTGCTCCTTTTTTGTTTACGGAAATTGTTTTGAGGGTGTTTGTACATTTAACCTTGTAGAAATTCGTCACTTCTACATTTTTATAGAACTAATTGCCAAGTGATATACATACATTTATTGTTTCGATTTTTACATTTACGTGGAAAATGCTGAATATGGTAAACTATTTACTGAAGATATGAAAGTTAAGTGAAACAGATATTTTTGGTTGAAAATGGACATCCGGAAAGGTGACATTTTATGGTATTAATGTATAGCATAATCTAGCAATGGAACTAACCATGATTAAGACACGTTTCTTTTTCTTTGTGTAAATAAATGTAGATTGTTACCTGACTCTCTATATGAAAAGTAATAAAACAAGTTTGACTATATTCATTGTGAAAATAGCGTTATTCACATACAGCCATGGATTAGTCAAAATTATGTTCATGGCAAGCTCTCGAACAAACACAGGTTACCTTAGCAACGATCGTGCCCAAGCATGTATTTGATCTCGATTAAAGCAAGACTGACGTCTTTTTTTACGAGCAGACGTTTCCGAAGATTGCTGTCGCTCAAAGAGAAAGATAATGTGTTGTGTTGCATTTTGTCATGTGTTTACAAATGTAGTCCATACAGATATACTTGTAAGTAACATAACAGTTAATTCATGCCCTTTCAGTCAATAGTCATAACTATTTTCCCTCGGGTTTGCTACGGCCTTGGGAAATAGTTCACCAGGTTGGTCCAAACACCTCAGGAAAACAGTTTTGACAGTCAATAGTCAATACAGTGTTGACTACTGACTGAAAGGGCATAAACTAATTGTATAATATATAAGGAATTATAGGACAACTTTCTTTTTGATTGTGACGCAACTCTAAAGTAAACCGTTCTTTTGACTTTCCTGACAGAGGCCCGTACTCCACCAAACTGGATCCGATCAATTATAGAAGGGAACATTGAAGATTTCAAAGCAGATCTTCAAAGAGGTATCGGACATCCTGATGATGGCTGGACCCCTTTACACTTCGCTATTTTGATACATCAGCATGACTTGGTTCGGTTTATCTTGGAAACACGAAGGGGCGATTCGGAAACTGCAACACATACGCTTCTACCACGGTTTATTCTGGACGAACTGAAGTATCGCTGTCAGTTTGAGTATAACTATGTGTACAAACACACTGTTGGTTTCACCCCTCTCTTGCTTGCAACCTTTATTGGAGATAAGGTTGCAATTGATATTCTTGGTACACACGTGACCGGCTGGCAGCTAGACATGAAAGACTGTCTCACTCTAGCCTACTGCGAGGACACAGAGAACAATTTACTGAACATTATGTGTGGTATTGGAGAAAAGCATGTGTGTGAAAAATACAATTTGAACGTGAAGCTTCACTCTGTCTACGAAAAAGATTGTCCAAACAGAAGAATCCTTATTAGCTCATCAAACGACATACAACGCAGAATTGAAGAAGATCTTGTCCCTGTCAGACTTATACTAGACAACGAAAACATCATCCGAGAGTTTCTCAACCACAGTAAAACTGATAGCTCAGCTAGGAACACGCCACTTCTTGGTAGAGTAATAGAGTCCCATGCAGACTGGCTATGGCAAAGTAATAGCAACCTCAACGCAATCATGCCAGGTCATACATCGTCGTTGTCGGAAGAACACCAAACTGACGAAGCCATGGTGGTCCTTCATTGCAGTCACAAAGGCTTTATTCATACACATGAACTTCCCTTCAAACGATACCTCCACAAAGACGGAGAACGTGTCCGCGTGCATGTTATACAGGGGCTATTCAGACTTGGACCTTTAAACAGTAGCAGTCAGTCGGTCCACGACTTGGGGAGAGAAAAGGGCAAAATACAAACAGGTTATAAGATTAAATATGGAAAAGCACCCAGGGACATGATGGCTACACTTGGTATGATGGTTGAGGATCTGGATGGAAACACCGGTATCCTAACATGCGCTCATACATTTTTAAACGACTTTCTAAAAAGTAAAAGTGGTCCGTTTTATGACAGGCTCTATAAACAGGATGGGCCATTACAAGCTGATGTTTTTTTACGAAAACCTGAACTCTTGGTATCAGATCATGTGGATATTAATGAAGGAGAAGGAGAGTCCAAAGCAAGGTATCGATCAGATCACGAGTATATGGAAGTAGAAGCAGGAGAGCCCCAAGCAAGGTATCGTTAAACAATTATTCATAATTAAATTATAAGTATATTTCAAGATTGGTGAATTTCAAGTGTTATTTGATGTTCATATTTTACGTAATACACGTAGTTGAAATATTGTTTGAAAACGAAAGCAGGATGCATTGTGCTTGATCTAGAAGGAAAGTACGTAATCTGCACAAACGCCAGATAATATACATTTCAATTGTTGTTTTATTTCTAAAAATTGTTGCTGATGCAGTAGCAATAGAGTATTTCCACATGCATATGAGTTTGTGCAAATCGATCCTTGTCAGCAAGAAATATATTTTAAAGCATTAAGTCATTCATTGTGTGGTTTTATGTGAAATGAATTACTTCAGCTTTGATTACAAATGTTTTTAAAGTGTTTTCCCATACTAATACAGATACAGAAGAAGAGTCATTAAAAAGGTGCTAGCATAAAACATTTTTTTATCAACTGTATATTAACAACATTCAAGGATACGGGGTTAAAAAGACATTATCTAAAAATCTTGAGGAAAAGAAACAGTATGTTTGAATACGTGATGAAAACAAAGCACCCCGATGTTCTTATTTATTATGTGAAGGTCAAAGTTCGAGTTTGAGAACTGGCTGTTGTCAATGGTCAGCAATTACTTCTATGGCTAAAGTGTTTAAAACATGTTGATCACCACCAATAACATATCTAAAGTTCCTGAGGTATAAAATCATGTCATTTAAGTATGGTATGAAACTTGATACGACTAACTGTTTCAAAATGAGAGCAAAACGTCGACTTTGAAGGTAGCCTAAAATTAAAGACGAAAAACGCTTTTAAGGATGAAATCAGCTTTAACAACTTTGTTTTCTCTTAAACGTCCAAGAATCATAATGGGTGCCAGTGTGATAGGTACTGTACAGGTTTCAAACTAAATAACCCTGATCTACTGAAAAATAATGCTCCAGAGGGAGCGTTTTAGGATCCACCGAACCTCTTGTTTTTCACAAATCTCAATTCGACGTCGACTTAAAAAACTAAAATGTATTTAGATATAATGGAGTTTTAATAAATGAGCAATGGGCGAATTTGGTAGATTTTGGGCCTTTTGATTAGTATACGTATATGACACATGCTTGTTTAGGCGGAAGACATCAGTTGTTAAAACCAACATGTGTGCTATAGTTTATTCCGGTAAATCGATTACAAATGAACTTATTTTATTTTCAAGTTCTGACCCCGATTGTGAAATGGCAGATGCGGAGCAAGCCACAAGGTAAGCTGAGTGCCCATTTTATTATTTGTTCTCAACATACCTATATCAATGAAAAGTGTCAAGAAAAATGCGATTCTAGCATTATTTTTTATTAGCTCACCTGGCCCGAAGGGCCATGTGAGCTTATCCCATGGTGCAGCGTCCGTCGTCCGTCGTCCGGCGTCCGTCAACTTTTTCCTTTAAAATGCTACTTGTCCTGAATGGCTCAGAGGATTTTGACCAAATTTGGTCAGGAGCATCATTGGCCAAAGGGTTCTCAGTTTTGTATAAACGGAGGGTATAACCCCCCTGGGGGCAGAGGGGCGGGGCCAAATAGGGGAAGTAGAGGATTTTTTCTCTCCTACTATACAAGTGAAGGGATTTAAACCAAATGCAGTCTGAAGCTTGGTCAGGAGCATCATTGGCCAAAGGGTTCTCAGTTTTGTATAAACGGACGGTATAGCCCCCCCTCGGGGCAGAGGGGCGGGGCTAAATAAGGGGAAAAAAGGTAAATCTTTAAAAATGTTCTTCTTCTCAACCAATTGAAGGATTTTGACCAAATTTGTCCTAGAGCATCTTTGGACAAAGAAGACTCAAGTTTGTATAAACGGAGGGTGTGGCCCCTCTGGGGGCGGAGGGGCGGGGCCCAATAGGGGAAATAGAGGATTTTTTTTCTCCTGCTATACAAGTGAAGGGATTTTAACCAAATGCAGTCTGAAGCATGATTAGGGACAAAAGAATCAATTTTGTATAAACTGAGGTGTGTGGGCCTCCTTCTAAGGGCAGATGGGTGGGGCCCATTAGGGGAAATAGAGGAAAACATCAAATATCCTTCTCCTTTTGTACCGATGAAGGGATTTTGACCAAATTTGGTCTGGAGCATCATTGGCCAAAGGGTTCTCAGTTTTGTATGAACGGAGGGTATGGTCCCCCTGGGGGCAGAGGGACGGGGCCAAATAGGGGAAAATAGGTAAATCTTTAAAAATCTTCTCCTCAACCAATTGAAGGATTTTGACCAAATTTGTCCTAGAGCATCTTTGGACAAAGGAGACTCAAGTTTGTATAAACGGAGGGTGTGGGCCTTCTGGCGGCATAGGAGCGGGGCCCAATAGGGGAAATAGAGGATTTTTTTTCTCCTACTATACAAGTGAAGGGATTTAAACCAAATGCAGTCTGAAGCATGCTTAGGGAGAAAAGAATCAATTTTGTTTAAACTGAGGTGTGTGGATTCCCCTTCTTTGGGGCAGATTAGTGGGGCCCATTAGGGGAAATAGAGGAAAACATTAAAGATCCTTCTCCTTCTGTACCGTTGAAGGGATTTTAACCTAACCAAACTTGTTTTAGAGAATCTTTGGGCAAAGGGAATTGAATATTTATAAATGGAAGATGCAACTTTGTTACTTGTACTCCTTTGATAAACCTGAATGGTACTCAGCAGGTTTTAAATTGAAAAATAAAATACCAGGTGAGCTATTAAGGCCCCTGGGCCTCTTGTATTTTTTAAGGATGATCCTTCTGGAAAGACTTAAGATGTTTCTAAACAATAACTTAAATATGCAGTTTTATAATAGTAACCGTTGCACGGTATTGTCTGATTAATTAAAAAATATTATGTACAACAACGTGACTACAAAAGGTTAAAACACAGCCCGAAACTACAAATAATGTAGATTTGAGTCCAAATGGTAATGTCGTCTAGCATATAAGTCGCTCCTAGACAAAATAAGATATCAGATGGTTGAATATAAAATCATTTTTCTATTGAAGGCTATTGTTCGCTTGATGAGAAGGTCGATGTTTCTGATTGTGTTTTCACTGTGTCAGTTCTTACTACTGGGACGTGACATTAAATAGCATTAAAATGAAATGGTTTTGAGTTCGAATTCCGGTTTTGTTCACACTTTTAAATTTTTTAAACATATTTATGTGTTTGATCGACTTTTGAAATGTGGATTTATATATTAGAGAGTTTTATATTTCTCTTGGGCGGAATGTCAAATCAAGTTTGGCTTATGTTAGCTATGACTGGTGAAGGGTCTTCTTGCTGCTGCTGTGTTGCTCCGATTGATGTAACCCGATATGCTGAGTACCTGCTTGATATGGTCAAATTCTAAAATAAACATCTTGTAAGACCAACTTGTTATCAATTTTAAATAAAACATTGTTGATACATCTGGAATTGAAATTAAACAACATGACGTATATTGAAGTACGATCTCTTACAGATGTGGATATGTCAGAAGAGTGCTTTTCCAAACAGATACAGATGTTGCCATTGACGTAGCGCTAATCATGCTTAATAGTGACGCCATTGAGTGTTGTCCAAAGCTATACTTCTTTCCAAGAGATAGAGATGACGAAAAAATACAGCTAAAACGTGTTGGCACAAGTAAGTCGTTTTTACAGTTTAACTTATAATAATTAATTGTTTGTACAACGTGCGTACCAAAAAAACTTAGTGTTAAGTGTAAGCATAGCATACATGATCAAATGTGAGGAAAGAACTCATCCAGAGTCTTACAATCCAAACAGTGTTTTGATGGACAATGTCTAATTATGTTGATATCCAATTTTCTCAGAATACAATCTATTTTGTCTAACAACAACAATTGCTAGATTATCGAGTATCAACTGTAAAATACAAATGTACATCAAACTTATTCTCTTTTTAAAAAAACGCGAATGCTGGTGAATTTGTGAAACATATTTATGTTTTATTATAATATAGTTAACGAAATAACAATGCAGCTGCCATCACTATCATTTTGTAAATATTTTTTTTTCTAGTTTTGTTTTATCCCATGTTTTGATGCTCGTTAAAGAATTATAAGAGATGGAAAATTGATACTCGAAAAGGCAGAGGACACCAATAAATGTTACAGACTGAAATATGTTTTACAAACACATTGTAACGTTACTAGGAATTTTTTTTCTGACATGATTTTTGCCCCCATTTCTATAAAATTTGCTTATGTAAGTATATTTGTTATCCTGTGTATACAACTTGTGCAATATAAGTATGTACATGTACATAGAAACTTGACTTTGTTTAAGATTTCAAGCGGAAAGATCTGAAGTTTGCAACTGGGAACAAATTCAAGCAGCCTGTTAAACAAGTTGAACTTGGATACAAGGTCATAAAATGTGGAATAACGACTGGATTAAGCGTTGGGGCATTGGCTTTTTGTGACAACCGTCACCAGGCACAGGTCAAGGTCACTGACGATCAGTGTCAAGTGACGGTCAATTCCAATGTATTCATCCTCAAAGGCCAGATTGTAGTAGAACGAACAGCAGACAAGGAATTCTTTCAAGAAGGTGATTCCGGATCGGCGGTGTTTGTGAAGGCAGAAGATAGCTTCGAATGTCTGGGTATAGCTATCGGTGGAATGACGTCCTCCTCTGAGACACTTGTTACTCCCATTGAAAGTGTACTTCGTGCACTGAAAGAACAGCCACAGGGTGCAAGCCAAATGCAAGAGTACAAACTCAAAACATTTTTTTGATAAATGGGCTTGGTGTTATGCTCATTACATTCCAATTCCTTCTGCTTTAACTGGCCATGTCGTGTCCAATTTCTATTTCAAATCCCGATGACTTAATTGATTGCGTGCTATTATTCATGTGCTAATAAGCACTCGCATGGTGTATGTGAGGATTACGATTCGATCTGCATAAATAAATCAGTCATGAGAAAAGATGACATACATCTTAATATCTTTTCACCAAACTGAAATTGTTTATATTCACGCATTACTTCTTTCTTAAATATGTAATGTTATGTGGCGAAAGTCATGTTATCTCACCTGGAAGACATGTATCTGCGTACAGCCGAATTTAAAGAATATAAGTCTTTCTTAATTGATGATATTTCAAGTGAAATTTTAAGGCATACAATGGAAATATGGTTGTTTCAACGTGGATAAATCATATGTCAATAATTAAGATACATATATACTGTTGCTTTATAATCTTAAAAAACAAATAGCAAATGGTATTTGAAAACCTAATGATATCAGTACTCATATTTAACCTAAATATATATATATATATATTAATGGCAAGCCCTTTCATTGTCTCTGACCTAGTGTCATTTATGTAAGATTAAATGTATCTGTCCATCATCCCTGGAGGGTATGACAGGGACATATCAACCAAATGGGTGATTTTCTTGATTGTCTAACCTAAAGGTTGACATTTCGTAGGCTTAGTCTAAAATGTTGCGGTGATTGCAATCTGGGAAACGATTCAATGATAGTTGGGAGAAGAAGTGATACATATTTAAAGGGAAGTTCAAAGGACTAACTAGGAATTATCTTGTGTAGTATACGTAAAGAAAGTTTAAGAATATTGCTAGTGGCATGCAACTCAATCCCAGGCGCACTACTGAACTAAGCGACAACATTATTTTTTTTATATATTCTAAGTTGTTAAGATTTCTGAGTGTTATAGACACATATTCCTCTTTCATTAGGCAGCGTGTTTAATGTTACTACAAAGGGACTCTCCACATGTTAAATATTGATGGTTAATTGTAAAAAAAAAGGTGCGGCTATTTATCGGGAAAGCATACAATGCTTACTATTTAACAACAAGTCCGAGTTGAGGCTACACATCTAGAGGAAGCTACTGTGTTTATTATAGATACATGTTAGCTATGGAAAGACTATCTACAGTAGGAATGCACAGCTATATACAATGAAACTTGTATGTTTATTAAAGTTCGTTTAATGTATAAAGGATATATACCGTATTCCGCATTATATTAAGCAGACTAGAGTTCCCAAACTAAAAAACACGTATGTTGACAATTTCTGATCTAGCAGTGAAACCTTTTACAAATAGATCAGCTATGTAAAACATCCAGATCTTCATAGTTACAAATATCAATATCAATTCTGACACAGACATCTACCATAGGCTTGAAAATATACAAGGAACGGCACTGGTTGCTCCATAATTCCGCAAAAGCCTCACTTTCAGAGATAAATAATGCATATTTCGATAGAACGAAATATTTGTTAATGGCATATATAGTTTCATATACATTCTCCGTGTGGCGGAGTTTAATAAATGACAATGGTAGAAATGTTTTGCAGTTTTGATGTTATAAAATGATTTATGTCGAAATATTATATTTTCATAAGTGACCTTTTACCGTCATTGATTTGCATTGAGTGATACAATGATTTTATACTAAAGATGTTATGTGTATATGGTCTACATTGAATTGTATTTATTTCATCATGTCATAATTGAGAAATGAAATATATTGTAACGTGTCAGCCTCGTTGTATATTTCATACGGATGTGCCCTTGTTATCCATTGATTGACATTGAACGGGACGTTCGAAATTTCAAAGTTGGGGGTAGTAGCCTAATAGTTAGGTATATGTCAAATTAGAACATTTTTGTTTTCTAAAAAGGAAATAATAAGAATTGGTTGGGTCACATTACCCTCATGCAATCTAATAATTAATGATTGTAAAGTTTCAATACATTTTTTTTTTTTTGGTTTTAAATGCACGCTTAGGATTTCAACCTGATTTGTATATATTCCAATACAATTGTTTAACCTGATTTTTGTACAAGCATATACTTTCTTTTTTATTATCAGGATTTTTCATCTGATGCACTGAATATCAATAAGTTAAGTCTAATTGTTGAATGACAAATCAATCTCTGTAGAATTATCTATCTTGATATCCTTGATTTAATAAATCATGATTTTTTTTTTATTTACCAATTATCAACCACAACTAGTCCTAACAATGTCAAAATTACATTGTGATATTTATTTCAAAGACTGTTCCTTTGCAGTATCTGTGAAATATTTGTGTTTTTAATGGTTTTGAATTATTATATTTATCCTTTGCGTTATTGTTAATAAAGAGTTGTGTGAATTGGCGAGGCAGATAATGTTATGCCTCACAATTTTGTTTAGATAATTTGTTGCAAGATATCGCCATTATAGTTAAAATAGTGTCTAAGCATAGTGGTAGGTTATTATGATATTAGTAGCTGGGTCAGGAAAGGTACCTCGGTTTTTCTTTTTGCAAATTTATATCGGAACTGTAATATATGTAAACAATAATTTTAGCAGTAACCATGAAGGAAGCAGAAATTTTATCATTGTAACGTGTTGCGAAATATTAAACTATCAAGTTGTCTTGATAAATATTTTGTGCACATGTTACAAAGTATAGCAAACAGTATTTAGATTATTTGGTTTCAATCCGGATTATTCAATTATTAACTATGTCACTGCTCCGGTTTAATTTATTTTCTGTGTTTAACAAGCTCTAATACAAACAGTTGAGCGAGTCTGAGTGAGTGAGATATCAGTATTGATATTGCGTTTAATTTCGAGTACGTTTACATTTCTATAGTTAATGCTTATGTTGTTGTATATGTTTTACGTTTAATGTTAACTTTCAAATACATGTATGTTTGGATACCTGAACGGGACGTTCAGTTTTTCAAAGTTGGAGGTAATATAACGTGTCAGCCCCGTATGACTGTGGCGATTTCAATCACCACTGTCTCGGCCCTGCAGCCGAATCGTTTATATATCGCTGTGCGCCTGTGTGAACGATGTTCGCTGCATAGTTAACACCAGTGTCCATTTTATAGTCCAAAATGTATTTGTACATACGTTTTAAATGTTAATTGTTCAAATTACAACTGTAGAACATTGTAGAAATGACCTATGATTTTGGAAGCTGACTATGCGAGATGCTCGAAACTACTTGCATTGATTTTTGGACTCTGTATGCTTGTAAGCCACGGTAAATTGATGGACATTAAGTCATTTTTATGTTTAAAAGAGTATGCTAACCTTTTGGCCACTGTTTATGTCTTTTAATGATGTTTAAGATGTTTGGTCGGTCTGAGAGGCCTCTCGGACCTCTGCCGGAGATTTCTCAAACGTTTCGATAACTCTTACCAGCGTCTGACGTCACCACCGTAGGGAATTCCCCAAACTTAGTATATTTTTAATCCTTAGCTTTGGCGGCATCATATAGTTGTTGTACATGCACATTTCTACTATGTACAATTTTTTAACACAAAGCACCTATTATTTAAGCGGATATAATGATAAGTCGTGTGTGATAAGGTCTGTTACTTTTACATACAATCTTATGGGAACGGAGTGTCTCCAGACATCTCCCGTCTAATCACCGGACCTCTCCTGAGTATTAATATTTGGAATTGTATAAATGCAGGTCGGATCGGACCAGTCAGTGTATAATTTGGGAGTGGTTTTGTACAATTTGTCTATTACATTTGGTATTGTCTGTTGCGAGGACATGTGTTGATGCCTTTTTGTATAATAATGTTATCCTGATACGTACTCTGTAGATAAACTTTGTTATTTAACTGTTCCTCTAATAAGTTATATCTGTACCTGTCTATTGGGCTCTTGGTTGATATTTAGAGCTTTCGCATAGTTAAATTAGACCACTAGGCTATTTCTGACCTTTGTTCTCGGACCTGACATAGAGGAGAGATAGCATATCCGACCGTGATAATCCAGGATCCACGAAGCACACTATATAACTAAAATTATATTATTATAACGTTCCGCAAGGGTATTGATGTTCGTGCCGATATGTACATCCTATATAGCATCTGAGTTTTTCATGAGATAAACCGGTTCCAGAAAAGGCACAAATATATGAGTTTCGAGCTGTTTTCGGTTGGTATGTATAGGCATTCAAAAAGCCAACTGAAAGAAGTCCAGTTCGGACTATATTTACCACTTCATGGCACTGCCAATATATAACATATAGCATATTTTACAATGTTCTGATTTGAAGATTTTATTGTAATTGTATTGAACGACCGTTTAAATTATGAAATAACTGTGATATGAATTGCTGTTTTAGTAAGACCAACAATTATTTGATGAACAATTATTTTATGTACAATTATTTGCTGTGATACTACTTTGTCTTTTAACTAACCAGTTTTACTAACAGAGGACCCTGTGCAAGATTAGCTTTGCTAAACAGGTTTTGTATCCTCAATAAATAAAGTTTATTATTATTATTATTATTATTATTATTATTAATAATAACATCTTTATTTGGATATCTTATTAGACAATAGCAACGAACGGCAGAATTATTTGCGTAACCCATTCAAAATGGCTCTTTTTATTTATAAACTTTATTTATTTTACAACAATTATGAAACAAGTTATTTCAACTTATATTAATCACTCTTGTTGGCCTGGATGTTACCGCGCGGGGAGTCTTAGTGTGGGAGGAAACCGGAGTACCTGGAGAAAACCCAAGTGATCTGGTAGGTGACCCTATACCTTGTCACGTCCGATCGGGGAATCGAACCCCGGCGGCATTGGTGAAAGGCAAGTGGCTATCCACTGCACCACCCGACCACCCTTAACATTCAATATGACTCTCTGGCGTCAAATATTGCCTTACAAATTCCAGCACTTTTTACGTCTTGTTTACTTTTTTTAAAACAAATGTATTAAAGAGTAAAAACAAAATTAGTTTTCGCCTTGTATATCATGTATATGTTTAAATCGTTTGACGGAATATAACGATGTTTTCCCTCTTGCACTCGTGAGAGTTATTGAT